ATTTGGTTGGTTCGTTGGAGGCGCATAAGATGAGGATTGTCGAAAGGAAAGGAGTGCAAGACTCGATACAGGCTCTGCAAGCTCAATCATGGAAAAGGATGGTGGTTCCAACAAATTCAAAGGAAAGTTCGACAAGACTCAGGGCAAGAAGTCTTGGTAGAAACCTCACAAACATCAGGTCGAAGATGGAGCTTCTAAATCCTAGAAAGGGGGAGGAGGAAACTATCGAAAGGGAAAATAAGATAAAAAAGGTGTGTAGTGCTATAACTGTGAAATGTTGTGTCACATAGCCAAGAATTGTTGGTACAGAGAAGACAGGGGATCGACAAGCAAGGACGAAGGAGAGAACCTTGCACGCCAAGATTCAGATGATTCTGAAGGTGGTATGGTAGTTATGGCTACAGTTGCAGATAACCATGTCGAGTCTAAAATATGGTTTCTCGACTCAGGCTGCTCAAACCACATGACTAGTCGAAAGGAGTGGTTGGTAGATTTTGACGAGTCGAAGAAGAGCAAGGTAATACCTGCTGATAATAGTTCATTGCAAGCAGAAGGTACTGGAAATATAGTCTTTCAAATGAATAATTGAGGGAAAGATATGATCAAAGATGTGTTTTATGTACCTGGAATAAAGTGTAACTTTCTAAGTGTTGGACAACTAGTCGAAAAAGGTTTCTTAGTTGTCATGAAAGATGGAGTTTTGAAATTGTTCGACACCAAGAACAATTTGGTCTTAAAATCTCCGTTGTCAAAGAACAAGACATTTAAGACTATGATCAGTTTGACTGTGTTGAGTCGATATATTGTGATTAATGAAAATTATACCTGGTATTAGAATTCTAGCAATTCAATTAACAAGCCATTGGTGAGTTCTGACATCGATGAAGAAACTGATGAAGTAGAGGTCGAAGGAATTATTGAGAATCCAGTCGAAGAAGTAGTTGTTGACATTCTCGACATAGTCGAAGTCGAAGAGGCTGTGGCTGAAACAAGCCAAATACCTCAAAGAAATAAAGTTCTCCCAACAAGACTTCATGATTATGAAGTGGTGGGTGATGATGAAGTCACACCAGATGGAGAATTACTTCATTTTTCTTTACTTGCAGGTGATAAACCAATTAACTATAGCGAAGCTTTAAAGACTAAACCGTGGAAGTTAGATATGGTCGAAGAGTTACTGGCAATCGAAAGAAACAACACATGGGAGTTAGTCAAATTGCCAGCACATACAAAAACTATCAAAGTAAAGTGGATATTCAAGTTGAAACATAATGTTGATGGATCGATAGCAAGACATAAAGCAAGATTAGTAGCTCGATGGTTTCTTCAAAGAGAAGGACTCGACTACTCTGAAGTATTTGCTTCAGTAGCAAGATTGGAGACTTTTCGACTAGTGGTAGCATTGGCATGCAACCAAGGTTGGTCGACATTTCATTTAGATATGAATCAACATTTCTGAATGGTCCTTTAGACGAAGAGGTTTATGTCACACAACCTCCAGGGTTTGTAATTCATAAGGAAGAAAATAAAGTATATAAGTTGCACAAGATGCTCTATGGCCTTAAACAGACACCTTGAGTGTGAAACAAGAAGATCGACTCATACTTAGTCGAATTGGGATTTGTCAAATGAAAATCTGAGTATGGTGTCTATGTTCAGGTTGTTGCACAAGATATAACAATCATCTGCTTATATGTCGATGACTTTCTAGTAACTGAAAATAGCTTGGAGAACTTGTTGAAGTTCAAAGAGTTGATGATGAAGGAATTTGAAATGTCTGATCTAGAAAATTGTCTTATTTATTAGATATGGAATTTCAAATGTCGAAGCAAGGTATGGTGCTACATCAAAGGAAGTATGTCAAAGAAATACTCAAGAGACTCAGAATGGATAATTCGAATCCTGCATCCTCACATGTCGAACCAAATGTAAAATTGGAGAAGAATGTAGAGGAAGACAAAGTCGATGTAACTTTGTTCAAGCAAATTGCGAAATTTCTGAGGTATGTGTGCAACAGTCAACCTGATATAGGTTTCGCGGTAGGATTAGTAAGCAGATATATGAGTGAACCAAGAGTGTCACATATGAAGGATGCAAGAAGAATCCTGAGATATTTGAAGGGTTCAATAAACTATGGAATACTATTTCGATGAGATTCTGAAGATAAAGAAGCAATAGTTAATTATTTTTCAGATGTTGTTGGTGTGGAGATGAGGAAGATCGAAAAAGCACAACTGGATATTTCTTTCAAGTATTTGGTGTCTCAATCTCATGGTGTTCGAAGAAACAACCTGTGGTGGCATTATCATCTTGTGAAGTTGAATATATATAGCAGGATCCTATGTTGCATGTCAAGCAATTTGGATCAGATTTGTACTTGAAGAAATGAAAGTCGAAGTGAAGAAATCTCTTGTATTGCAAATCGACAACAAGTCAGCCGTAAATCTGACGAAGAATCCAGTTCTGCATGGAAGAAGTAAACATATTGAAGCAAGGTTTCACTTCTTGAGGGAAAAGGTAAATCGAGGTGAACTTGAAGTAAGGCATTGCTCGAGTGAAGTACAGTTGGCCGACATTTTCACCAAAGGATTGAAGATTGACAAATTCCTGAATTTGAGAAAGAAATTAGGAATAATTCAGATTGACTATTTTTGATGATGTTCGACAACTTGGATTATGGGGGTGTGTTGAAATATTAAATTAGATTTGTTAAAATATTAGATTAGATTAGATTTGATTAGATTTAATATTTAAATATAATCCAAGTTGTATAGACCCAGGCCCAATTAGGGTTGTATATAAATATTCCTAGTATGTATCGTTATTTGTACAATTCAATAATATAAATTCTTATTTCCTTTATTGTTCCATCTTTCTCTCATCACTAAAGTTCCTCACGCACTAACACTTCTCAATCTCAAATTTTGTTGTCATGGTAATTTCAATTGAACCAACTTGCACAACTTCATCGTGAATAACAAAGTATACGTGAACAATATTGTATATTTTTACCGCACACTGAAATAAATTTCATATATGTTAACAATCATTGTAAATGTATACGATAACATGTATGAATAGTAACCGTAAACAGTATTCACAGCGAAATAGAGACTAACACCAATAACTCTAGTATTACTATTAGATATCAAAATAACATGAAATAATATTAACACAACTAAAATACGAGACAAACATGTAGGAATAAGAAAAACCGATGTTACTTCAAACTCTTAGATAATTATAGAATGATTATAAAACTACAATATAAATTTTCTATTTATACGAGTCTCATACACTATAACTGGATATATATTTAATAAATTTTACGTAATCTTCTCATCATCTTAAAAATCAATGATTCTTATTATATTGACTTTTTCTTTCTTTCTAACAAATAAATATGACTTTACGTCTTCACATCCAACATAAAATAGGCAACTAGAAAGAATTTATTTATATTTGAGAATAATCTCATAAAAATTACATATATCGTTACGATTTCTCTAAATTTGATGTGCTACAATATTTTTATTGTAAATTTTTTGGATTAAGTATCTTGTATAAAAGTGTTAGTTCTGCTGCTCTTTTATTTATTTTTTGGGTTCAACCTTAGTAATAAAATATAGAGTTATTTATTCTATTTACTCCTTTTAAAAATAGGCTAAATATTCTTTTTAAAACTTTTAAAATAAAATAGTTTTTTTAATGAACTAATAGGTAGATTAATTTTGTAAAAAGGTAAGACCATATCATAAAAAAATCTGATATATAATTGATCAAACCAACTTTAACTTTTTTTTTATAAAAATTTTATTTATTTAAACAAATATTAGTTGATAGAACATATTTTCACTTGTATGAATAGGAATGGAAATAAGTTGAGTTTGAATTAGATTTTGCTAAAAGATTGACTTATTAAAAAATTTAAGATTTATTTTTAAATTTGAGTCTAATTTTTTCAAAGGTTATTAATTTAGTTAAAAATCTCTTTTATTTGAATATTTATAAAATGATAATTCAATTAATGTTAAATAGATTAATAAATTAAATATCAACGAATATATATATATATATATATATATATATATATATATATATATATATATATATATATATATATATATATATATATATATATATATATATATATATATATATATATATATATATATATATATATATATATATATATATATATATATATATATATATATATATATTGATTTATTCGAATTTACCTATTATGATAATTTTTATGATATTATTCGTTTGAAAGAACATATTAAAAGAACTTATGACAACAACTTATAAGATTATTTTTTATATGAAACAACTTATTTAAATAATATCAAGATAACTATGATTTAATTAGTCAATCGTCTTATTATTTTTTCGGATCTCTCTACTTTAATTTTATATTTTAATTTAAAATATAAAATATACTATAACAATAATAAATTTATTCGTGCTTATTTAAATAGATCAATCTGATAAATCTGATATGTTTAAAAGTTTTTATGTGTCATGTGACCTAATTTCTTTTAACTAAATAAATTTATAAAAAAATCTAAATTTTTTCTACTTAAAAAAAAAGAGGCTAATCTAACATAAATATAGATTTGTGTAGGCCGTAGGCTCCTATTAGTGACAAATAAGATTATATTTTTGGAGTGCATATATACTCATGTATGCTCTAAAAATGAAGTTATGAAAGTAATTAAAAACGATTTAAAAAAAATAATCTCTTAAGGGAAGAAAAGTCTTAGTAGAAAAGAATAAGGGGTGCAGAAAACAAATCATTTCAATACTCACAAAAGCTCCGAAATTAAGTCCAAACCAAGTTACTTTTGGACGAGTTTACATGTACAACTGCATCTTGTTCTAAATGTCTATTGGCTAGCCTCGTGACAGGATAATGATAATTAAAAGGGATGAGAAAAATATAACCACACAACACATTATCTTGGTCACCATATTTCATTCTACCAAGAAGAGAGATGGGAACTACCTCCCTCTCTTCAAACTCACCTTCTCTCATCAACATCATTCTCACTAGACGTTCGACTTCACTACCATCAACCAGGCACAATAATTTCCTCACACTTCAACTTCACACTTCCCTCACTTTTCATTCCATCACATGCAACAGCAGCAGCAACAGCAACCCTGCCAATACAGACCAGGATGAAACAGGCTCAATTCAAGCACCAACTACAACACCAGCTGAACCGGTTGAGCTAAGGCTCAAGAGAAGATTAAGAAGACAAGCGAAACGGCAGAGAGAGAATGGAACTGTTACAAATAGCATTGAGCAACCCAGTAAGGCAAAGGCTGCTCCTAAGAAATGGGAAGAAATGAATTTGACAGAGAAGGCGTTGGAGCTTTATGTGGGAGAGAAAGGTGCTCTCTTTTGGCTTAATAAATTTGCATATGCTTCGATCTATATCATGATTGGAGCTTGGATAGTATTTAGGTTTGTGGGTCCTGCACTTAATGTTTATCAGTTGGATTCACCTCTACTGTCACCTGCTGATGTATTGAAGGGATAACAGTTTCAACTTATGTTTGTATTGTAATTTTAGCATATGTACAATATATTCAAGATCACAAAAACCTATCATTTTTGTTAAATGAGTTGTAATGATAAAGTCTTTTATGTTCCTTTGTTCACTACATTAGTTGATATTTAGCAATGTATAAATACAGAACAAAAACATGACTACTCAGTATAGCCCTGGTCTCAATTGCAATTGCAGTCATAAAACAGTTGAAGAGACCGACACACCTTTACTAGGTTAGGTGACACAAACCGGAATTGCATTTGCAGACCATAGAAAAGGAAGTTGTAGTAATATTGCAAACTTTATGGAAACTACTGTTTTCGACCAATTACGTTGAATCTCGCTGAACGCCGATGATAAAATTTGGTCATATGAATTGAGGGACATCAAGTGAAGATAAGATACTAGTGAATCAAAAGGTTGGAACGATATAAGTGAAATTTCAGAAGGATGGACACACGAGCAAACTATGTCAAGAGAACAATCACAACTTTCCAAAATTATCTATATTGCAAAGTATTTATAATAAGCATACAGATTTCTGAAACTGAAAAATACACTGCCGCAAAGCACGGACTGTTTATGTCTTTTGTGAATATAATGAGCCTGTTGTGAATATCACCATTTAGCTGGCAAAGTACATTTTATAAATTCAAAATAAAACTCAACAAAACTAGGGCAAGCAACAAAAATACAACTGACGAATTCAACATTACACAACATTGACAGGTTGCATTGGCGCCACTCTGAGTGTTTTACACCTGCAAATGATGAAACATTGCTCAGTAATAGTGTGAGGGTAGTTGCAATACAAACATACTTGATAGACTCATAATGACTACTAGCATAATTTTAACTTCAATTGGAGAGCTTTCAATTCTTTACTGCTAAATAAATAAACTACATGAGAGAGAGAGAGAGAGAGAGAGAGAGAGAGAGAGAGAGAGAGAGAGAGAGAGAGAGAGAGAGAGAGAGAGAGAGAGAGAGAGAGAGAGAGAGAGAGAGAGAGAGAGAGAGAGAACCACCTGTTACACTCTAGTCTGGAAGCATAATTATGATTGTTGCAATTTGTGCACATCCAATCACCACTTCGCCATTGCTTAGCTCTAATAAATCAAATAGATAAAAGCATTTAAATAGTGAGCCTATGAAAGTATAGTAGAATCAACGAAGACCTATAAGATAACAAATGTCTCTCCCTGTGTGTATGTGTGAGCACGTGTGAAGTTCAATGGAGAAGAATTACTTACCCTTTTCCAAGGAGTGCGGTAGAGGAAAACTGAGGTGGAATTGGAAAGAGTGGGGGCATTGGAAAGCTTGGTGCCGAACTAGAGTTAATGCTCGCGTAAGCAGGGATGAGTGCCGATTTTGGTTCTGCGCTGGTCCCTACTACTTGCTCTGCATTTGAATATGTTCGCTGTTGGTCATTTGTCTGTAAGAAAAGACATTTTGTATGTAAGACAGTAAGAGGAAGAGGATATTATTAAGAGAGAAAAAAAAGTGTGTAAAACCACAAAAGAAACAAAATCCTTACAGGTCCTACATTCAATCTCTTGTTATCCCAGTCATAAGCCAAATCTTCAGAGGCTAGCCGTTTTGTGCCAGGCGCTTTACACAAAGAAAAAGTGGAAATAATATGAAGTTTAACATCAATTGACACCAAAAAAATTGAGAGGAAAAATCTCAATATTAAAGGCCACATAAAGATTGGGGGATTATCCATATAGGACAACATAGCAACCATAAGAGGTATTACTTAGAGCATAGTATCTGTAGAAAAATGTTTTTTACAACAGTATCTGTTCGTAGAAGATAAAGCTTATGAAATTTGCACTTGCAATCTTCACTAAGGAAGGAAGCCATACCTGGTGGAGAAGCATTGCATTTTTTACACTGCAGATTATTTCAACATTGAATCAGAAAAATAATGAATACTTCATTACTTGTGCATTTTAACATCATTTTAGATATAACAATTCGAGACCATACCTGTGAGCGAGAGGAGTAATTATGGAAGCCACAGTTACAGACCCAGTCCCCATTGCGCCATTCTTTTGGAACAGATGGGTTCTGACTATTGGAATTTACATAAGGATGTCCAGAGCTATAATTTGTACCTGGAAGCCATAGTGGAACTGGCTGGAGACCAAACTTTTCTGTTCCAGCAACAGGCCAACTAGTATTCAAATTCAGCGACTGCGGTGGCACACCGTTTCCAATCAATCCAATATTCATGTTGTGTTCTGATCCTCCTGGAGCTCTAGAAAAGTAGGGGGGATATGTAGGGAAAGATGCTCTAGTCATTGCAATTGCTGGCATGGCCGCTACCTCCTTTGGTTGTCCGCACTTCTTGCACTTCTCTCTTGATGCATAATTGTTGTTAGTGCAACCTATTGTTCCATTGCATACAAACACATTCCCACAAAGCAGCCAAGGGAAAGCAACCCACACCAACACGTCGCACGCACACCAAATACACATACAAAAAGCACAAACATCTCAACCTAGTTCATACCAAGGTCTTTATCTCAATTTGAAAAGGAAGATCATAAACTAAATAATTACATGCCAAGCTAAACTTGAGCATCATTTTATCATTGACAAGTGAGAAAACCTCACGTATGACACAAATAGAGCTCAAATGCAAGATGGCATACCTCCGTCCTTGAGAGGAATCGGGGTTTTTTTTAACTATAAAACCAAAATATGCATAGCTGGGACTTCAGTGAAATTACAATAAACAAACTTTCACCATATTATAGTAAACTACTCTAAACCACGTTAACAGATTCCCTGACTTTGGAGCGGTAAAGTTAGGGTGACTTTGAACCAACCACATATGTCCGATCAATCATGTGTATGAGGTCATGACACTTGTGCTTTATAATTTTTTTCTTTTAAAAATAAATTTGAGTGAAAAAGTTAAAAGAGGAAAAAAATGTACTGTATATACACCTTCACCCTCTCATTGCCTTTACATCTCCTTCGGTCTCTGTCGCTCCTCACTCTCTCCATCATCGTTGCGCTAGGATTATGCCACCGACACCCATCTGCAATTTTTTGGCACTGATGGCTGAACTTTTTTGATAATGTATTTTCTCCATTTTAGTCTGCCTAAGCTTTAAATGTGACTTTCTTGATCTCATTCAAATTGTTTACAGGAAAAGATTTCTTGATCTCATTCAAATTGTTTTTACAGGAAAAGATTCAATTTTTATGTAAAGGGACTATACTCAACTTTCTACCATTATCAAATGTTAAATTAATAGAGGACCAGTGCTTGCAGCTGGTTGATGAAAATATGTGGATTGATGGCAAGAACATGACGGTGAACAGAGGTATCTGTGTTGATGATGTTTAAAATAACCATTATTTACTTAATTTTTTTTGTTTTAAAATTAATAAAAAAGCAGAATTTGTAGAGCAAGATATGGAACAATGGATTGATCAGACAGTTGTAATTAGTTGAAAGTCACCTGACTTTCCCGCGTTAAAGTTAGGGAATCCGCCCTAAACAACATATAGCCTATAAAGTTGTGGTTGCCTCATAAGCACGCCACAAACTACTTTGGATTGACTTATTTAAACTTATCTACTGACATAACGACTTCTAAGTCTATTTGGGAGATCTTACAAAAATAATCTAGGACATGTCCACAAGTTCTTTTCTACTTGTCTTATATTCAAATGATCTGTAGGATAGCTTAAGAAAAAAAGTGTAGCTTATACGAAAGCGGTTCGACGCAAACCTTAGTAGTCAAACATCTGCTATAATAGCACTAGCGCAATTTGAACAAACCACTATTGTTTGACAATATGCTATTTAGTACATGGCTGTAACAGAACAGCACTATAGCACTGTAATATAGCGGAATTTCAGCAAAGCACCATTATCCACAACAATCAATTCAAATATATTACTCATTACTCAAAAATCAAAATCCACACAAAAATTGAACTACCCAAACACAATAAAAAAATCAATATACAAATTCGATATATACAAAAAAAAAAAACTATGATTGGAAAAAGGTAATGAGAGAAAGTGGTAACTAACCGGAGCAGATCCAATCGCCGATGCGAGGGAGCCATTTGGAATCAGCGGGGGTTTTGTTATCAACAAGGAGACGTGGTTGTTTGCATCGATTGCAGAATGATCGGAAAGCGTAGTTTCTGTTGTTGCAACTGCTACACTCCCAATCACCTTCTCTACCTTCGACCATTCTTCTTCTTCTTCTTCGCAACGATTAATTTTTATTTTCAGTGTGTTTTTCTTCTGAGAATGAAAAAAGCAGAGGAAAGAGGGATTTTGGTTTTGGAGAACGAACAATAGATATTAAAATTGAGAATTTAGATGTATAGGAAAAATAAAATAATTTCGGAAAATTTTACCATGTATTCCTACATTTAAAAAAAAATGTCAAGTTTGCCTTTAATAGATTTTAACCTTTTTATTATTTCACTTTTTACTATTTATTAAAAATTCACTAAAAAATCTGAAAATTGTACCTTAACGGCTCTGTTTCAGAAAATTTTAAGAAAGACTTCAAGTACGTATATATTCAAACTGAAACAGTTGCATCAAGTGTTTCAGTATTATAAAAAAATGTTTCAGAAGAGTTTATCCAAGTCTTCCGATTTGAACTGAACATTTTAATGAACCGAAACACTTTTGAAAAGTCTTCCGATACAAAGAATTATAAACCGAAACACTTATGAAAAGTCTTTCGGTGCAAACACGTCTAAACCAGAACACTTTGGACTTTTCCAAAGTGTTCCGGTGGGTCCTAAAATCTAAACCGGAACACTTTCTGTAAGTCTTTTGGTACGCATTGTTAATTTTTTTTTTTACTTTTTAATTTTTTTAATACTTTTCAGGTATGAAAATTTCGCACCAAATTTGCCAAAAAAACGAGCCATATGTAGATACCACTGGTGTGTTCTCCACTACTCAAACATTCGATACACGAGAAGAGGTTATAAGCTGG